CTCACCGTCTGCTCCACCACGATGGGGATGAGGGGGGGGGCGCAGGCCGGGACCGTCCCGTGCAGGCAGCGCCGGGCGCCGGCAAAGACCCGACGGAGGGAGCGCTGGGGGGGGGGGGAAAGGGGGAGTCACGGAGACCCCCGAGACCCCAACCCCGAAACCAAGAACCACCCCCAGAAACCCCCCAGAACCGGGACGCCCCCGAAACCGAGACCCTCCAGACTGGGACACCCCAGCACCGGAACTTCCTATGGGTTCGCCCCGGACCGAGGAAACGCCGGAACCCTCCCGCCGAACCGGGACCCCGAGGACACCCCGGGGACACCGCGGGGACCCCCCCGGCCCCCCCGCCCCCTCACCGCCACCCCCGGCCCCATCGCGCCCCGGAAGCGCTCGGGGGACACGTGACCCGCGCGCACGTGACATCGCTTCCCGCCGACCGCGCCCCCTCGTGGCCGCGCCCCCAATGCGACCCCGCCCCTTTGTGGGCGGTGCTTCCTGCATCACGTGACTCGTCTCTGGACTACATTTCCCGTCGTGCTCCGCGGCGCGGCCGCCATGACACCACCGGAAGCTGACTTTGGGGTCTCCCTCGTACATGCGGGCCCCCCGGACCCGGCACAGCCCCTCAATGGACCCGGCACAGCGCTATAGAACAATTGTACCGGTTTAAAGGTCCGGTAGCGCCCCGCGGAGAGCACGGCCTTAGGAGTGCCCGCAGGCACAAGCTGGGCTCCCGGTACTAAGGGCCCCACTGGTGGAACCCCGTTTCATTCCCCGATTAAACCGCCTGTTCTCCCCTTCACAGCGCTAATCAAACCCTGAAACGGCTCCGTGAACACAGCCCGGCGATGGCGTCACTCCTCCGTGACGTCACGAGGCACCTCTGCCGCCAGGGACCACATCTCCCGACAGCCCCCGCGGCCCGAGGCGCGCTCACCCCTCGCGCTGATCGGCAGCCGCTCTGGCCAATAGGATTACGCCACCTCCCCGCGCGGCCCCGCCCTCCCCTCCTCCCTCAGGAAGCGCTGACGGACGCACGGAAAAGCCAATGAGAGGGGAGAGGGGCGGGGCTGAAGCGGAGCGACGCGTGGATTAACCAACCAGCGCCCGTCGGCAGAGAGCAATAACCAATAGAAGATGAAGGGCGGGATCTACGCGGCCGGCCCCGCCCGCCGCCGAGGCGGGTAGCAACAGTTGCCCCGGTGAGGGACCAGGGAGGCCGCCATAGCCACGGTCACCGTGGCGACCGCGCTCCGGCCCGGCCCGGCCCCTGCCGCCGCCGCCCCCCGCTCCGTCGGGCCCCGCCGGCAGCAGCAGCCGCGGCACCGGGGGCAGGCGGAGTCCGCGCGGGGCCCCGGCGGCGGCCGCGGGCAGGTGGGTCCGAGCGGCGGCGCCAAAATGGCGGCGGGGGGGGGAAAGGGGGGAGCGGGGGGGGAGG